CCTGCAATGTTAACTACTGTAGGCTATGTTTAAGCACTTATTTTAACTGATATTATACATATGTATTATACCTTGTCAGGTATTGAACATTCAATAAATAAAGAACACAGAATTATTAAATATAAAACACAGAATGTGTGTGATTATACTAAATGATTTACAAATAAACACCACTGCATATTTACAACTGTTACACATGCTGATGCAACAAAACATTTCCAACTTGGGATCAATAAAGTATATCTTAACTTAAGATGATCGATGGCTACTGCCATATTTGCAAAATTTGCCTCTGAACCTTGACAAGTGCATGTTTCAGGCTTATCAATTAACAACAGGAGGGGTCACAGACATAAGACCAGCTGTTAAATAAAGCTCTTCTGACCTTAGCTGTCATGTGGGTATATAATGCTGCCCATTATGGGCACAAGCAATTTTCACCCATTTATTAATTATGCGTTTTAAATGTGATAACACCACTGTGTTTCGTATCCCCCTAAACAAGTAAGTAGTAAGCAAGCAACTTCTAATTGTGGGAAACACGAAAACATCTTATAAAACTACAATTCCCAGTAGAGACGTGCCATACAACATGTTGCGAAAATTGGGGGTGGGGGGCTGGGCTGGACCCGTCCAATTCCAGTTTTGGAAAGTCGGATAGTCTGCCGTGGTTCCATCCCATTTCAAAGTGCTGTTTGACGCTCGGCGTAACCCTCGGCGCACTGCCACTCAAATATCCAATCACAGAGCTTGAGGACTAATCACAGGGTTTGTCAAGCAAAGCAGAGAGAATACTTACTTCCTGGTGTAAAATTCTCTAAAGCAACTACTATGAGCTGCTCCGACCCTCCGTCCTGACGGACTCCAAAAGTCCGACATTATACAATCAAACAAATAAATAAACACAAGGATAATTGTCTCTTATTGTTGAGTAAATAACAGTGTGTGGTTTAGAAAAGAATAGAAAATTAGAAGGAAAAAACGATGAAACAATACAGATTTCAATTTTCTGAGCCCCTACTCTCCCCCTAACTGACGGCAACAAAAGTCTGACATTATTCAACTAAAATTAAGAAGTAAACACAATAAGTGTGGCTTGATATTGAGTTAGAAAAAGGTTGATAAATGCTGTGAGAATGGATCTGCGGAGAGCATTTCGCCGCAATCCCAACTCGTCTATTACCAACGTTCAGGGAGCTCTATGCAAGTCAATGGTACTCCCTGATAGTTGAAACTCAGGAGTTGGGAGTGAGAATGTGTTGCATAAACACTTTATCCCACAGTGCATTGCGGCTAAAACATCCAACCACCGAGCTGAGGATCTTGCCTACGTCTGTTTCCGGTATTGTTTATGACGGATGTATTTTGTTATACATACATTCCTTCACATTTTAATTTACATTAAAGTATTTCGTGAGGCCTTCTAAAATGTTTTTAAATATAACTAGGGTTGTAGTAATCGCACAACGTCACGTCCATTAATTCCACAACCACACACATGGATTCACATCGATTTAATACATTAATAGCCTTTGTTTCTGCTAAAGAGGTGTCAACCAGCTGGGGCAACAAGAAAATCGGCGAAATCGAGTGTGACTATTAATAAAAATAAATAATTATTGTATTAATATTGACAATAACAACCGACCGTAGGGGAGCGTTCTCATGGCGTCTATTATCAACGCTATGGGAGGTCTATGAAGGTCCATGGGACGCCCTGCCCGTTGAAAACTGACTCTCAAGGGGTACCCTGTCCGTAATAGAGTGACGGGGAGGGGCCCTGACCGACCGTCAACATGTGACGGGTTGGGAGTTAGAACGTGTTGTCTGGATATATCTGACACCTGTAATATATTGATGAAGAACAGTACAATAGGGGACCTTTAAAGCTGTCCTCAGTAAAACAGCACAGGAACATAGCTGCAGTTTAAAGAGTCTCTCTGTGTCTCCTCCACAGAAACACAGCTGCAGTTTAAAGAGTCCCTCTGTGTCTCCTCCACATGAACATAGCTGCAGTTTAAAGAGTCCCTCTGTGTCTCCTCCACAGGACATAGCTGCAGTTTAAAGAGTCCCTCTGTGTCTCCTCCACAGGAACATAGCTGCAGTTTAAAGAGTCCCTCTGTGTCTCCTCCACAGGAACATAGCTGCAGTTTAAAGAGTCCCTCTGTGTCTCCTCCACAGAAACATAGCTGCAGTTTAAAGAGTCCCTCTGTGTTTCCTCCACAGGAACATAGCTGCAGTTTAAAGAGTCCCTCTGTGTCTCCTCCACAGGAACATAGCTGCAGTTTAAAGAGTCCCTCTGTTTCTCCTCCACAGAAACATAGCTGCAGTTTAAAGAGTCCCTCTGTTTCTCCTCCACAGGAACATAGCTGCAGTTTAAAGAGTCCCTCTGTGTCTCCTCCACAGAAACATAGCAGCAGTTTAAAGAGTCCCTCTGTGTCTCCTCCACAGGAACATTTGTAGTGAATGTGAGCCTCGCAGACTGCCTAATCAGGCGAGGAGAACACAGAACATCCACCTGGGAGTGGACCTTCAGCTCCAGAAGAGACACTTCCCTCAGATCCATTTCTACCATCTGTCTCCTGCATACTGAGACAGACCCTCACGTCCTGTTTTCATCTATATTGAAGGTGTTGAATTCCAGAGTCTCCAGGATCCAAGTTTGCAGGACGAGTCCCAGTGGGCAAAGACGTCCTCACAGAAGGACGCCTCACACTTCATGTCTCCAGACTCAGGACCAATGACTTTGGGTTTTATGTGTGTGACATACTCGTCAGACCTGATGGGGAGTAATCAGGAGATGCTGGCTCAACGTCACCTGTGAGTAACTCAGAAGAAGTCAGTGAAGTCAATTTAGATCACTTGAAGATATCTTATACGGTCAACTGATGTGCAAATTGTGTATAAACCAGGCCAGCTTCTGAATATCCCTGATACAGAAGAGTATGAACATAGAGTTCCTCAACCCGACAAAGATGAGATCACTAACTGTGTATTTCCACAGCTGCTGCGAGTTGGCAGTTGTATTTTTGTAGCATACTTTCTGTTACTCTTTCTATGTCTTCAAAGGTTTGCCGTAGGATAACCCGGACTATCGACGAGTCGAACAACAAACATTGTTAGCATCATCAGAGCATAAAGTAAAAACAAAACGAAAAGTAAGAAAAACAAATCGACTCCATAAAGTGTCTAGAAAGCTACAGATGATGGAAATGACTTTGTGTGCAGGAAGCTTTATGAAGAGGAACCCGAACAACATGATGTGTTTATTGATGTATTCCCTGTTTGCTGTATCACATTACATTCTGTGAGCCTACCACAAACGGGAAAGACTCTTTAAAAGATCACTGGAAGTTATCCACCATGTTTCAATATTGATCCTTGATTGGATTTATCCGTGCTGATGTCATTCGGTGGAGTGGGAAGAACTCAAGTGGTGAGTTATGTACATTTATGATAATGGGAACAGGTTAGACAACGTTTTACTTTCTTTTTCCTCCATTATCCAACATTGGTTTGTAAAGAGTCATTATAGAGCAGAGCTGAACAAAACAACTAAGCACTTGTGGTTAATGTAGGCCTTTCATCTGATTCACCGCACTTCCTGTTCTCTGGTTTGGAAGTGAGTGAATATATCTGCCCTTTCCTTGTTGTTTGGAGTTTGACTCTTTTTACGGTTTTTGCACTTATTGTACAGTCGCTGTTGGAAAAAGAGGTCAGCTAAATGAAATGAAATCACATTTGAGTTGAATACTAATGTACTTTGACTATTGTTGATGGAAGATGTTAGTGTTAAGTGTGTCCAAAGGTGGAGTAAAGGATATGTGTGTGGTGTGTGTGTGGTGTGTGTGTGTTGGTGTGTGTGTGTTGTGTGTGTGTGGTGTGTGTGTGTGTGTGC